CGCGGAGGCGCTGGGCTGCGCTGCGGGGGGCCGCAGACCGTCGGGTCCCTTCTCGTTGCGGGGAGATGGGTCGTGTGAGAAATGGGACCATTACGAGCAGCTGGGGGCGCGTGGCTCGGTGGGTTTCATTCTGCTTGCGCAGAATTAAACTAAATACCTGCAAGGTCAGAGCTGGGCCGTGGTGCAAAAATGTTTATTTTTGCAAACCTTAATTTTGGCTTTGATAAATCTGCTTTTTAAGGTGCCAGAAATGGGAAGCACCTATGCTTGCGCAGAATTAAACTAAATACCTGCAAGGTCAGAGCTGGGCTGTGGTGCAAAAACGTTTATTTTTGCAAACCTTAATTTTAGCTTTAAATCTGCTTTTTAAGGTGCCGGAAATGGGAAGCACCTGCTTTCCCCCTGTAAAGATTAATCCCTGTAGACTGCTGGAACCTGCCAAACCACCTGCAAAATTGATGTGATAGGGATAGCTGCGCTCTGGCCAGGGGAGCAGCCTTCAGATGTGACACTGGGGAAGGGAACAGTGACAGGCTGACAATTGCTGGCCCCTCTCAGCAGTGACTGGGGTCAGCTTTGTGTCTGAGCTCAGAGGAAACAGGTTGTTCCCTTAAGGCCCTTCAGGATTTGCTGCCCTTGAGAGGTAGAGGCATTTCAGGTTCCTCCTGCTGCTGACAGGTAAAGTGCTGAGCACTTGGTAGCCTCTCACTCTAGAGCAGAGGTTGGTGTAATCAGAAACAGTCGCAGCTCGGGGCTAAGTTTCTCGGTGTTTCTTGGCAGATGCTGCTCACAGAGAGCCATCGTCTGGTCAGACACTAGAAGTGGATAAAATAATAAATAAATGCATAAAAGGGCACTCGGGAGCCTCTCTGATGCACCGAATCCTGAAAATAGTAAAAAGGTTGTTTGTGCCACCCTACAGGGTTTCTCCTTTTGTGTGGCAGGGAGGAAAGGCTTCGGAAAGAAGAGGAAGAGCAGAAGCAGCGGAAGCGGGAGGCTGAGAAGAACAAGGCCAGGCTGATGGAGGCCTTCTTGAAGGAGAAGGAGAAAGAGGTTCTGCAGCTGCAGGTGAGAGCATCTGGTGACTGCTGGGGAAAACGGTGTCACCAGCCCCTGTGAGCACTTTGAGGGGACCCTGCAGGGGTGGCGTGAAAGCAGGAGGCTTCTTTTCCGGGGAGCTGTGTGTCAAAAGCTGGGAACACAGATCTCGGTTTCCTTCAGGAGCCATGGCAGCTTGTGGATGGGGTAGAGGTTGTGAGGGAGCTCTGAAAACGGAGCGGAGGACTAATCCCAAGTGGTAGAATAAAGGTCTCCCTTTTCTGGAGGTTGATATATGCGTAGGGATCTGTCTGTTAACATGCACTAAAAGCCAGTGCTTCTCTTTCAATCAGGAGGAAGCCAAAACGTTCATCACCCCCGAGAACCTGGACGCGCGGATTGAGGAGTGTCTGGACAATCCCCGCAACTACAACTTCGCTGTCGACAAAGAAGGCAGGATAGTGAAACGGACCGTTCTGTCCTAGCGGCGCCGCCGGCAGACGCGGCTTGGCCCGGCCCTGGTTTCTGTCCGGAGGCTGAGCTTATGGCCTGGCAGAAGGAGGTTTGCTCCTTGGAATGCATGGATCAACTGTGGAGTCGTTGCACAGGCAGCCCGCAGGTCTAGCTGCGGTTCCGGTGCTCCAGGAGTAACGTCCGCGATTGCAAAGTTGGGGAGAGAGATGGATTTGAAATAAAATCCAGGCGTGCTGAACTCGAGGTGTTAGCAGCCTGTGTCCATCCCTGCGGAGCGGCTGGCAGCGGGAAAGCTGTGCGGGGAGCTCCCGGTGCTCCCGGTTCTGTAGCCCGCAGAGGCTGCTCTGCAGTTTCACATCCCGCTCCTTTGGCTCCCTCCTCCTTTCAGACTAACCTTGCGGGGTGGAGTGAGAGTGATCCCAAGGAGATCCTGTATTGTAGGTCCCTGATGTTCATCCTCCAGAGGAATCTAATCCCTTTCTCTGCTTTGCTGGGCTAAAGCAACTGGAATCCCCACTTGCCTCTCCCTTTCTTCCACACTCTCCTGTCCTCACTCCTTTGTACTGAACTCGAGTATGGGTAACCAAAATCACACACACTTCCAGGTGAGATGGGGCCTGCACTTAACATTACTCCCATCACAGAAAAGCAGTAAGTGTTAAACACGTTATCTGACCAGGTGAGATGGGGCCTGCACTTAACATGTTTAACACTTACTTCTTTTCTGTGATGGGAGTAATGTTATCTGAGTCATCTGGCACCTTTTCCTCTTGGGAACCTTGTGCTTGAGTATCTCAGCTTCTACCAAAACACCTCTTTCTGGTCCCTGTGTGCCTGGCGTTTGCATTTCAACCCATCTTGGCACTTTTGAAGGAAAATGGGGCCTGGGTAGTTTGTATACACTGCCCCTTGGCTGTGTTTTGTTGGGTGGAATAATTTAGTTCCTCTGGTGTCTGGTGGAAGGGCCCTCCTTAGTCATTCCTGCCTATTCCTTAAACCCTCCTTTGAATGTTGGTTGAAGTGAGAATATGATACAGTGCAGGTCTAAAGGAAGCGAGCTAGTTTCTATGCATCTTTTTCCCCTTTTGCCTCTTCAGCTGTGCCATCATTTTTCTCCAAAAATGGCCTTTTCCCTCCAGCCAGCCACCAAGTCTTCCTGAGCAGACAGCAGTAGGAGTCTGCCACTGAACCAGGCAAACACATGAAAAACACAGACTTATTTTTTTTGGTGCAAGTTTTTATTTCTAGTTAAGAACATCACTTAAATTTGAGTCACAGAACCGGCTTCATCTGTGGGACTGATGTCGGACTCGGGCGATGTGACGGCTGGCGGATCCTGTGAAGCCGCTGCTGTCCCCCGGGTGGGCTGGTCTATGGAAACATCACTTCTTGCTCGCAAGATGAGTCAACCACGCAGCCCTCTGCACAGGGAGAGAGCGGGAGTGCCGAGGGGGGGGGAGCCGTTAGCCATCAGGGACCACCCGTGGCTGTTTTTAATAACAGATCCAGGGAGATTGTGCGAATTCTGCACCCCGGGCGCTGCAGCAGAAACGTAATTTGCAGCTCCTGGAGCTCCCAGAGCGTTGCCTTTCCAGAGATCTTCTGGAAAGACGTAGCTAATGCAGGAGGGCTGTGGGGTGCCTCTCTGGCCCCCCGTGCTGGGCTGCGCTTTGCTTTTCCCCCAGATCTCTCCATCTGTGCCCTACACCCTCCCACATACAGTGGTGGGTTTCCTAGTCAAGTCTGCTCTGAGCAGGATGGTCTTTGAGCGGGGTAGGTACAGGACAAAGAAGGGCTGTATCTGTCCGTTGGGCTACATCCCCTTCCCCACTTCCAAGCTGAAGCCTTGGATCGCTCACACATGTAGGGCAGACGGGAGCAGTAGGTGAGGGGCGGGGGGTTG